GCTCTCTAGTCTCTAGTTCTAATTATTAACTTGATTGACTATTAAATAATGGTTGATTCACTGGCTCAAATTCATCGCTATTTTTTGTTTTTTCAGTTACTTTGTTGTAGCTAGTTTCCTAGAACAGACATATTTTGATACACCAAATTCATACCTGCAATGTCCCACAGCTTGGTTGAGAACATGCAAAGAAAAATATAACCCATCAAAAACCTAAACATTAAACTGTACATCAGCAAATGATCCATACTAATAGCAATATTTTTACCTGCAGCCGAACTGTCATATCATCTGACCATCGTATAACTTTCAAAGCAAAATCCACTGAAATATATCATATCAATAATAACATTAAAAAGGCTCGCCTTTATAATATGTTGTGAATTAATTTTCCAGCCAAGATAAATTTTGATACTTTGATGTTAGCCTCCTTACCCAGGACCACCTTGGTTATATATTGATTCTTCTTTGAAAAGTGGTAGTTTTGCTTGACATGTAGGTATATGACTCTTTTTACAAAAATATCAATCATTTTTAACCTGCCCTGGTGCTGATTTAGATCAGATCCTATTGTGTGGTTACTCTGTATTTACGGGGACGTTCCACCATTTTTTAAAGACATATATTTATAGTCCTGTGCCTGAAATTTTATAAAACTCCATATTTCCATTTTTAGGAGTCCCATCTATACAATGCCAGTGTCCAACATGAAAAATTGGCTATATCAAAACTTGAATAAAAGTCTCGGAATAAAAGTCTAATAGAATAAAGAACATATAATTAAAAAGAATAAATGTTTGAGGGGGGACAGGAAGCCCGACGCGAAAACGGATGCAAAGGAGACTAGATAAATGAGCATGATCACTTTTACAAATTTAAGTATCTCGATCACAATGCCATTGTAATCAACTGATCCCTTTTGAAGTAGTGATCAGTGTACAATAAAAGCTCGATTTAATTTCAGTTGATACGATATTAAACCTGGCACATTGCTGAATGAATTTTCTCTTTCATATTGTTTTACATTGCATAATTATAAGTTGCAACGAAAGTTTTCAATAGTTGTCGATCAATTTGGAAACACTCCGGTACTAAAAGGGTGTAAATCGTATTGAATTACCTCCAATAGTTGGCTTGTATTCTCTTCTAGGGTTACCATGTACGTATTTTTGTACAAAGGAGGTTTTACCAACCAGAGCATCTCCAATAATCAACACTTTAAACAGAACTTCAGACGACATCTTGGACTTCTACACCACCATTATTTACATCTGCCTCATGTGACAATCATGTTAGAGATGTCACGCCATACGTTTGGTCACGCTACCGTCACAGAACACAGGGATCCCGACAGGTTTAGCTGTATATAAGTCAAAAGGAATTACAAAAGGAATTCAAAAAGAATAAATTTGACGTCAAGTGCGGAGAACACAATACCTCGGGACTTATCAAAAGGGTGTATATATGTTGTACAAATTGTCAATTTGTCATACCCTCACTCAATCGCTCACTCACTTTCCTGTAATCTTGACTTTTGTATATTTGTCTGGTCATTCAAAGATTCACTATGCGAATGCCTAATCAAACGAGAACCTACGCAGACTGAAGGCAAGAATGTGGTACAGTTCATAAGTCCAAATGCTTAAATTTGGGAGGCTACTCTTCCCTTCACTCCCTAACCCAATTCTCTCACACCTTCCTTCATTTCATAGAAAGGAGGTTAGGAGGGAGAAAGACCTTTGGAAATAAATTTGGAAAAATTAATTTTTCGACCTCCCTGGGATTTGAACCCACAACCCTCAAATTTGTACTACCGATGCTCTACAGATGAGCTACAGCATCCCGTGGGTTGGGGGGGGGGGGGGGGGTAGTACTCGCCTATATTCGCTATACGGGGATGTGCCGCCAACCAGTGTGATGCTGGGTAAAAATTCATGGGGTAAAAATTTGGTCTACAAGCAGGCTAGTGCTGGATTTTCTCTGGAACAGGATATCGTTTTAAGCAATTTTACTCTGGAGCAGGGTATAGTTTTCAGCGGTTTCACTCTGGAACAGGATCAGGGTTTTGATGTCCCMGCGGCACACCCCCACCCAAGTTTGGGTGGTCGGTTTGAGACTGGGAGCAGGTCGGAGTGAAATAGATTTTCTTAATTTCAAGGGTCTTTCTCCTGGAATAACCTCATTCTAATCACTATAACTTTCCTTTATTAATCTACATCATGTATCTCGTAATGCCATGCGGTCCCCATATTCATATCTTTACATTCTAAATTCCACAACTTAGCATCTATTTCACCCCGAACTGCTCCCAGTCTGACCTTGTAGCTCAGCTAGCAGAGCATCAGTTGTAGTACAAATCCGAGGATCCCAGCAAGATCTAACACTTCTGAACTGGGAGGGGCTGTAGCCCTCCTCTGAGCAGAAAAAGTTAATTTAGCCCTAACCTTAATTTTCAGCTAGATCTACCCTTTCATTCCCACAAACCTCAGAACAATTCGACAGCCCACTTCTAGACTAAAAGAATTTGCACACTATAGTAATGCTTGTTGTTTATATTCTGTACTCATAAATAAATTATTTACAAAAGTATGATACAAACCAGTATTATTATATTAGTAGGTATCTATGAAATACTTTATACACAATTCCATAGAAAATATCAATTGCAAAACCTGGATTACATGCACTTAAACCATGACTTATCTGTGCTGCAATTCTATTCATGGTTTTAGTGCAATATAACCAACACTACATGCCATGTCATGTAAAAATTGTGAGTTTTCCCACAGACAGACTTTGCTAGAGTACCGCAGTACAGGACCAATAATTGTTGAATTCACGTAACACTGTATAAAATAAAAAAACAAGATCTATCCACGGATAAGTCATAGAAGAACCTCATTCATAAACAGACAGTAATAAACCAAAGAATCTAACTCTAATATGAAAATATCTATTATATAAAGTGTGTTTTGTTTAGAGTTAATATTCAATGGTAACCTAAAGAAAGTTAAACATTACAGGGCTTGTATAATGTACTGTCAAAGTATGGAAGGGATGTAAGACAGATCCAAAGGACTGAATGAAAATATTTATGCAATATTCATTATTAATAAGTCAACGAGATGAGGTTCAAGGATTGTGATGTATATTTTACCTCATACATTGATTGATGAATGACTTGGAAAAAGTTTGAGTTTAAAAACCCAATTTATGGACTGGTCTGCCTTTTGATTTGAATCTTGCAATGCAGCCTCTTGATATGTTGAGAGGTATTGCAATGGGACCAGTACAATGATTCAAGGCATTGACATGTTCTGAAGTACATAGTAATAATAATAAGCTAACCTGTCTGAAGTGGACTCAAGCTGATAAGCAAGGTCATTGAAGATAATGTCACATTTATTTTATATTACTATCTAAGGAAATATTTAAATCAAAGGCACATTATTGTAATATATAATAAACCATTTTCTTTAAGTGGAAGGGCCAACACAGCTAACAATAAATATGCATCCTTGTTCATAAATATATTAAAAACTATTGACAATAAGTGACAAAAACATATAATAACAAAAAGACCTATAACAACAAGAACATCAATTAGCCAAGCACCAACATAATCCACAACAAAATCAGTATTGACAGCAATAACAACCACTGAAACAAAAATACCAATGACAGCAACGAAAATGAAGCACCAACAACAGCTGAAATCTTTACCAACATAATTCTCTGGACAATAATGGCATTGTACAGTATGAATATCAACAAAACAAAGTACCATTATCTCCAAAAAGCAATAATTACAGTTTAGAACAAGGATGTTATCATATTATTTTACTAGTAAGAATTAATTGCATTTCATTGACATGACATGGACAGCCATTTCAAAGTATTTATATTAATATTAATAATCAATTGTTTTGTCAAATGGATTTTCTGAAAATATAGGATAAAATAYTCTACTATTGATATCTTTAAGCAACATTAGACTGTGGCTTGACCATAGTTTGATGAGAATCTGCAGTCACAAAGACAGTGTTCTGAGGACTCTTCATCTGTTGATCTGTGGCTTTGATAACAATACTTTGACCTGCCAGCTGTTGTTGAGTAAGAAGTGACTGTGATGGAGGATGTGGTGCAGGTGCTAGACGAGGTTGTATTGGTAGTTGTTTAGCAAATTGCGAGTTCAATTGTTTCTGTTGTAGCTGCTGTTGTTGAAGTTGTTGTTGATGTAACTGCTTTTGCAGAGTAATCTGTTGCAGCTGCTGTTGTTGTTGTTCAACTTGTTGCTTTAGCTGTACAATTGGTGCATTATTCATGTGATTCAAATACAGGTTTTGCTGTCCCGGTGGGGGACTTGTCACAATTATTGTCTTTGGTTGTCCTGGTGACAGCTGTTGCTGTGGCGATGGTGATTGAGGAATTTTAACCTGAGAATTATTTGCTTTACCACTGGTTTTTGGATAAGAGTTGGCCCGTAAAAGAACTTTACCTTTAAACACAAAGGATGTATACTGTAAGTCTATGAATGAAATTTATCATGAATAGAGGAAAGGTATCCTTATAATGGACAAATCAATGATCCCATACCTTTTTGTTGCAGCTGTTGCTGTTGCTGTTGTTGTAGAGGTGAAGTAGGCTGTTGCATTTGTGCCATGCCCATACTATTAAACACTAGACTATGTCCTTTAGAAAAGTTCACAGGAGAAGGGTTAGCAGGTTTTGATCCTTGAATAACAAAACTGAGTGCAGGATAGCCTTTAACACTTGTTGAAGCAATTGGAGGTGGGGAGGGTCCTGTGCCATTAGGTAATGGTGACGCTTGAGGATTCTAAAAATTAAAAAAGGACTGAAAATCAATTATCTTGAGTCTCTGAGTAATCACCCCAAAGTTATTGTCAGAATAGAAAATGAGTAAAAATGCTAGACTTCTCAGAACAACTGTGATTAAACAGCTTGGTATAGAGAGATTATAACATAATCATCATCATTATAGTCATGCATTAAACAAATTAAACATTGCGACATGTAGATAGTAAAAGACARTATTGTATTGAAAAGTAAAAAGAGCATGTCCATAAAACCCTAACCTTATCACAACACACTAATCAATGGTTCTTGCTGCTTGTTAAGAATAAAATTGTACAAAAAATTATATACACTGCATGTACCTGGGTAGTGAAGAACAATGGACTCTCTCGTTGTCCTGTTGTAGTAGGTGTAACTTTTCCTAAAAAAGATTTAAAGGATTAATTTTAATTAAAATTGTTTGGTTAAATGAATGAATGGCTGACTATCTGTATTGTGTGACTGAATATTGATTATTTTGACTGATTGATTGATAGATTGAATGATTGATAGAGTACATGGATAGATTGATTCTATAATCATKGATTGGTTGAATGATTGATTGACTGATACCTGTAGAAGGATCCAGTTGACCTGCAATCTAGCAATACAAAACACAATATATAACAAACATATATAACAAACATATATAACAAAAAAGATATATTATTCATTCATTTTGTTTTTATGTGGAATTTTTATGTTTTCATGCTTACAAAGATGACATGCATGCAGTATTTCAGTAGTTCAGTGGTTACTGCTGCCATGGTTTATTTCATATATAGCAATCCCAGATTACTTTATGACCTGTAACTTGCTTTACATTTCCAGTTGCTAGCATGTTACTTACCTGGACCACAGTATTAGTTGAAGTACTGCTGGCTGTACCATTCATTTTAGCTACCATAGTAGTTTGACCATGTACAATATCACTCTGTGTATTAGTAACACTAGTATAGATAGTCCGTGTGTCATTTTCTATAGTAGTTCTACTTGATGAGTCAATACTAGCAATAATGTTACCCATGTCACTGATAGCTTGACTACTTGCATCAAATCCTTCAGATGCTTCAATCAATGGTTTACTATGTAACACAGTTTGATAAGAATTTTCCAAAGAATGTTTAGTTCCATGTAAGACGTTATTGTGTTTGACAGATCTATTTCGGGGTGGAGGCGGTGCCTTAAGAAAGTTTGATAGGTTTCTATGTGTAGTTGAATGACTCTTGTTCTTGTCTCCAATAATCAATGAGCCTATAAAAGACCATATGTCATGATTATAACTATACTGTCCGTTAGTATTCTCTATCGGACCTCCATATTAGGTAGTAGGCACTACCATTCTAACATGTATCTCTTAGTAATTATTAGTCAGAGTACATTATAGCAAAAAACATTTTGTCTTGTTTGTACAACAGTAAAAAATAAAGTGGACACCATGAAATGATGGAAAAGAACTTGGTCCATAATTCATAACATAGTCACAAGTACCTTTTGCAAGACTATGATTACTGGATTGTCCAATGGTTTTGATTGCAGGTCTATGTAAAATAGCAGCAGCTCCTGGTCGTCCTGATGAAGCTTTTCTGAAAACCAAGCAGACATATACCATTATGTTGTTAATCAGAGTTACACTAAGCTACAGAATTTCAAAAAGCATTCCACAGATATCCTTCTCGGCAGATATATGATGTTCATCACATAGTAGGCAGCCATATGCACAAGATTACACAGCATGCCAATGACTAGTGAACCCAGAGTACACAGTGGAAAATGCTATGAAACTGTATGTAGCCAAATCTCACAAAATGTACCAGCCTCAAAAAGTATATAATTATTTATTTTACAATCTAAAACAGATAGAACTGCTATTCCTCTAGTTCACTTCAGTTGACTTTGACTGACTGTGTAGCCAGGTCCAAGTATCGAGACATAAGTCATTTTGAGTTAATTGACTTGTAGACAGTGAACCAGTTTGTATCACAGTATGTAGTTCTCTGTACCTTTGTGGGTTGAGATATCTCTCCACCATGGCCAGCATTGCACATCTAAGATGATCCTGTCTTCTATTGAATACTAAAGCACCATGGCCAACTTTTCTACCACCAAATGAACATGACTAAAGGAAACACATCATTATCAGACAATGTTGTGTAAAAGATCTTTTTCACCAGACATACAAGAGTTTTGGCCAGTCAAAATTATTAATTAGTTTTAGGAATTTAAATATAAAAGCAACAAAAGAATATACACTATTTAATCCAAAAAGCATACTTTTGTCTTTTAAAGCTAAAGCTATGTATAGTTTTAGCTTTAAAAGACAAAACAAAAAAACAAAAATTGAAATTTTTAGCGTTTCATTTGTATGAGTAAACCATTTATCAATCTATCCATGATTACCATATTTACCCATGTATTAGCCGCTCTCGTAGATAAGCCGCACCCCGAGTTTTAGGAATGTTTTTGAAGAAAAAAAGAAKGAAAATAAACTTCTCTCTTTTCGATTGTCACTATGTTGCGAACAGAGMTTCTTTGATTTTAAGTGTTGTTCCGCTGCTCAATTTCAGTGATCCATGCATTTCTTATGCAATTTAACGTGTGGTGTATGATGATCTTGGAGACATAATTGTTAAGATTGATAATTGATACTATATTTAAAGAGTTGTTTTTCAATCAAAAGGTAAAAGCAAACTGGTAATTAACTTGAGTGATATAAATCTCATCGTGCCACCAAACTTCTAAACATAAGGATCACACCGAAACTGTYTCGTATTTMAAAAAAAATATTAAAACAGATTGTATTTGTTTAATATAAGGAACAATTTCTGAGGCTTATTTCTTGGGTATTCAAAATATTTTTTACSCTGGGTTCTTCATTTTAAGTGTGACAAAGTAGCTTAAATGAACAATAGAAATTAGCATTGCGTTACCAAAACATTACTCCAAGACAAAACGATTGAAAATGCTSTCTGTTCATTAGCTCAATAACCACGCACTTTTCAGTTTGATTTATTGACTTGTGTTTCTCAGAGCTAGATTTTCAGAGAATTTTAGTAATACTGGGAAGTYTGGATTAAAATTTCTGTTCCCGCTGTGTAAAACAAACTTATCACATTACTRATGTCCTGTCTGCAGTCAGTAGCACCGTGAATGCTAATTTATGCAAATTAGTTTTTATTGGGCATTTTACAAAGTCTTCTCGTAGATAAGCTGCACCCTCGATTTGGGAACGATTTTTTTTGGAAAAAAAGTGCGGCTTATACATGGGTAAATACRGTATGTATCAATACATGTACCTTTCTGGTACTCCCTCAATTAAGACAGAATATTTTCCTTCAGTCTTAAACTCATTTTGCTCATTTTGTAAAACTATAATGATCATAAAATATAACAAGATTCTGCTTCAACCTACCGCCAGAGGTTTTGGGTGATGATTCACGGTTGACAGCTCACTTAACAAATGACTGTCATCTACTTCCTCATTCTCTGCTTCTTTGCTTGAAGTTTCAGTTGTTTCCTCTGAAAATTATTCATAAAAAAAGATTTTGTATAATTTACACAACAGAGATCTGTGAAAATAGTAGGATTATTAGTAGGATCATATTTTTTTTGCAGAAAATTGCACCATAATTATCAAGTTAATGGAAAATAATATATTTTACACAATTTTCTGCACTATTCACAATTATTTTGACATCCCACTATTATCTCTGATAGCAAAGCAAACAAGACTAAAGGGTAGTGTGATTGCTGAAGAGAGGAAAATGTCTATCTAGCTCAGCCTTGTGTGACTACAATTCAAGATAGCAACTGTAAAAAAATGAATGTAAACTGCTGAACTCACCTTTAGAAGAGGTAACATGTGTGTTATTTTGAAGCCTGAAAGCACAATTATATTAAAATAATTCAATTTCATATAATGAAAACTATTAGAATACTGACATCTGAATGTGATAATGATATATTGTAATTAAGTTTATTCACTAGAGCTTCTTAATAACAAACATAATACTCACTTGTCATTTGCAGGTTTAGCCATTGGTTCAGTTTTCACCTTTTTAAATACATTATTTGTAGACTTTGCTTCAAGTAGTTTCATAGCTGCAAGGTTTTGTTGTTGTTGTTCCTTTTCATTGTTTACTCTTGCTTTATGTTCTGCTAGAAGTTCATCAAACTTTTTTCTACGGCCAGGGACAGCTCTTCTCAATGACAAAGCATGGGTCTGTCAATGTACATAATTATTCAACAATTATTTATAAACCCAAACAACTCATTAAACAGCCATTGACCATATTGTGGTTTGAAATGCTCCTTGGTTTGAAATCTATTAAAAAGTGCAGGTTTGAATTTTCAAACCAGCGGTCTTAAATTTCTCAAACTTATTCATTCTCTTGTACTTTATAGAATTTGAGTAATTTTTTGTATATCTTTCAGGCTAGGGTTTAGGAAAATATTGGGCATTACTGTAGAAATATAATTCTATAACTCATTAATAATTTATTCGAGCAATTAGTCACATTGGTTCACATGATGGGCCTTTATATCCTGATAAAGCACTGATATTTTATTAATCAGTATTTATCAGATATAAATAACTGATGTTCAAGTTCATCAGCGCTTTATCGCAACCGCAACCCCAGTTCTAGTGTCGTATCATAGACCTTTGCTAGATTTTAAATCAGTTTGAATCAATATGCAGACATGCACTTTAGCATACTGTACGGACTAGCCGTTCTTCCATGTGGGATCAAAATACTCCATTTTCGAATTCAAATATTTTATTTGACATCAGATTCTCTAATGCAAAGACAGAGAATCTGATGTCAAATAAAGCAGCAGTTATTCGCTTTGAATTGGAAAATGGAGTATTCTTTCAGTTGTGGCACAATGCACATGCTCATTTGAAGTTTAATATGCATTATCACTGTTCTGCATTTTGAAGCTTATTTTCCAATGATTACATGTCGAATATACCATATCCATTGAATGATTGACAGATTGTGCAATATCCTACCTTGCAAGTAAGAGACCTTGTGCATCGTTTCTGTTGTTCCTGTACCCAAACCCCACAGTGTTTGTCTGCATCAAATTCTCTCTCTAAAGCAAGRAAGTTAATGCTCATCATCACAATTAACATAATAATTTCCTGTACTTATGCACCCAATTTGTTACAAGATGATTGATATAATATGGAGAACGAAATATTAGTTCATTCATGTTTCACTAATGCTTACAATTATATTAATCTATAAAAAGAGACAGGAACTGGCATTTTTGTACAAAAGTAAAAACATCTCAGTAATCTCAGTAATGTTTGGTGATGTTATGCAACATAATTTTGATCTTTTCCATATAATTCCAGAATGACTGTATTGAATATGCCCAATAACTGATTACCCAGACCTTTATRCAACACAWAAYGCATGTCAACTCACCTCGGGTAGGAATAACCTTTCTTGGCGACTTTTTATTACTTCCACTAGACTTTTTTGTTGAGTTTGGGAGTACTTTAGGTACATGATTAACTTTTGGTACAGTTAATGGTACTTCTTCAATCTTCACTGTGCTATCTTCAATTTGTAGTTGCTCAATCTTGATATTTGATGATTGATCAATAACAAGCTCAACTGGCGCTGGGCTACTAACATCGGGTGAAGGAGTTGGCGGAGGTATTGGTTTCTTGTGAAGCAAGTCTACAAAACAACAAAAGTTAACATAAATTAAAGGATATCATCACAATGATGTTAGGTACACAATAACATCCAATGAATGATGCTATTTTTTGTGAATTTATACAAAATATTAGTAGATAATATTTATCAATTCCATATAAGAAAAGTCTATCAACAGTAAGTACCAGTAACTAGCTCTCAATAGTTACCAGTTGGCATTAATGAATCACAATATTGAGAAGTGACTTTTGTATCACTGTGCAATACCATGGAACAGACCAACCGTGGTCATGGAACTTTGCCTGGTTTTAATACCAGATGAAAATACTGACTCAAGAAGAAGTTACAGTACAGTATTTTTAGACATACAAAATCTGCTCTATAATCTATCATACAGATTGACATCTTATTTAAAAGTAAAAAATGTACAATACTGCACACTACCATAAATCATTGATTTCAATGATTGTTTTTAACCACTAATACATGACCTTTGGAAGCCAGTCTGTTGCATGTCACAAAAATGTCTTTAATAATGCACGTACATGTAATGTGCTTAAGAATAACTATATTTCATTTTTTTCAAATTCATTCATTCAGTCAAAATGTTGGACTATCTGACAATGWATTRTCTTATATTTCAGAGGATTTCTCTRGAAAGGAAAGGTKGTTCCAGAACCCYTGGAATCGCTGCATATGCCACTGTTGTACAAAATTATACCGCTATAAAGTAATCTGCTTGTCATGTTACTCATAGATTATTTAAATGATTTGTTTGTTTTGTAAGAAATATATCAGAGACATTCCTGAGGACCTGTCGTACATCAAGATCATGAAATCCCTTTATTCGAGAGNCAGCGTTTCAAGGACTTAATTATTTTCCAATACAAATTGTACATTTGCAAGTGAGAATTAATCCTTAATATTTACCTCAATAACAACAATAAACCACTTTACTCAAATGCCAATAGGAAGTGAAAATACAGTTTTACAAATAAAAAGCAACCTTCAGTCTTTTTCAAGTGCATTTTATTAATTTATTTATTTATTTTTACGAAAAAGAATACAATTGAGTGATGCGTTGCCCTGCAAAATAGCATAAACACTAATCGAGACCGCCAAGCACATTTATATGTTGTGTTTTGATAGACCCATGTTTCTTGGAGTCACTTTGCTTGGATCAAAAAGAACTGATATTTCTAGTAATAAATGACAATGACAGCAGAACATTAGCAGGAGGATCTCACTGGTAATRTGAATTTTTATCTGATCTATCTGATTTTATCAGTCTGTCAATAGAGCACAGCAGCATGTGCTTTTTTCTCCCTTGCTTTCTTTTTACTGGTTATTTACACTTGAAAAATAACATTAGCTTTAAGTTATTAACCTGCTTGCCATGCAATATTGCACCTCATTTGAGTTATTTTGCATAATACAGTTTTAGGCAAAATGAGTAAAATAACATGCTGCAAATGAGAATTATGTAAGGATCAAAATTTCCATCCCTTGCTTCTTATGAGTAGTAACTTKTCAACATAGTAGTGAGCAACATACAATATTTTTGTATTTCTSTCCCTTAGCATGCTATATTTCTCAATATCATATCAAGGTGCATTATGTGAACTCAAATATAATGAATAAATGAATAAATAAATAAATAAAATAAATAAATAAATGATAAAAATAAATGAATGTTGCCAAGTTCAGTGGGATATAAAAGAAGCCTTTCTTTCCAACACCAGCATTGTTGTTTCAGGAGTTTGCTAGCTTAYACAAGATCAGACAATTGCTTGAGTCATTACGATTCTTTTCATGGTCACAACACAACCTCAGCAAGAGAACTAGCCAATTGTGTGAAGTCTTATATCAATGGTATTATAAAACCAATTTATAAAATTTTTAATATATATCACGCCCTCTGATTGGCTGACAACTGTGTTTATCTCAGAGACCCACCAGCTGGATCTGCCCCTGGGTCAGGTTTTTGCTGTTATTTGCAGTCAGCTTACAGTTTTTATTTYTTTATTTAGCAGCAAACCCACCAACACTTCAATTGGAAGAATGTCCCCAACAGACCAATGGTAAATTTCTTAATGAGTAGTTTTTTTGGTTCTATTTATAATAGTTGCATAATGGTAATTACCTGGTTGTTTCAAGGATCAGTTGATTTTGTTGTTGTTTTCTTTGGCACATTGTATGATAATAAAGAACTGCTTAGGGGAATATCAGCTGTCTCAGGATCCCTTGGTCCCAGTAAATAGGCATTGATTTTTTCAGTAAACCTATAAACCTTACTGTTTCAGGATGTGATTGCGGGGTTTTTGTGATCGCGGTCATTAAACATCTATGCTACCATTTCCTTGGTATGACATCACAGTYRTTAATGAATTCAGTCAACACAAAGACTGTGAGTCACTTGAGATGTCACATGAAAGATTTGATAAAGGAACTTGCAAACACAAAGTGTTAATTGAATGCATCAAATGTACATCATGGGACAGATGATCAAGTGGACTATGCTGCTGTCACATGACATTGAATTGGAAAGAGACAAGTTAAGGATTCAATCAGCAAGCAAAAGCATGTAAAGCCAGGAAGTATACGAGGGGTGTGGCTTCTATAATGCAATATGCATATTTGCACTTGTGTTGCTAAATTTTCAAATTTTTGGGAATGCCAACGAAACATTTTCAAAAGTTCTTAATTTCTTTAAAAGATATTGATGTTTAGTAGGTGTTGACGTGTTTTATTGTTTTGTTTTAGTGCATACTAACAACAAACCGACTTCTACATAGATCATTACACTTAATTCTATAGAGCTCTTGCAGTTCATGTCGTTCATGGAAATGCAGCTCTAACTGGAGGACAGAACAATGGATTCTAGTTCCCAAGAGGGCAAAAATCTTCTGTTTTGTCCTCCAGATTAAGGTCCTTTACTTCATATGCTAGGGGTCTATATTAGGTAATTCCTCAGACTTCCCGTGGACTAATGCTGTAGAAGATGCCGTTTATTCCCCGGCTTTGATGTGTTTAAAGCAGGAAAAAAAGAACAATGTCAACAATAAACGATTCCCTTTTCCGTGACTAAAATTTTACGCTTGTCCGGTAGTGAAAATATTATATCATTACAGCAAAAATTTAACATATGGATTACGTTCACATTATACTCTGTGAATTCAAAAGATGGAAGGTCACTTCGCCTTTTAGAAAGAAAAATAAAACAAGTACATTTTACAGTAAGAAAAAAGGAAAAATAAAGCATTGTTTCATGTTGTTTCGACATCATCTCGAGATTCAAAGCCGCGATCCTCAGTCCGACGCCGCTATTCGAGTATGGTCTTGAATACGTGTGCAAAACGGTTTGAAAAAAAAACCGGTTCTAAAATAATAAGAAAACTATATCTATTTGAAAAATGAACATAACTAGAACGACTTCGAACAACTATATATTTCAGTTAAAGAGAGAAAAGGGAGAAAGAAAGATTGTTAGATTGCGCAGACTGTAATCATCACTATCATACATGTAATCATCGTTATTATCAATGACCAGACTGTAATCATCGCTATCATACGTGTAATCATCGTTATTATCAATGCGCAGACTGTAATCATCACTATCATTCGTGTAATCATCGTAGTTTCAATGCGCAGACTGTAATCATCGTGATTAGAAAAACGTAGGTTGCGTAAGATAAGAGATTTTGCGAAATAGGAGAAACGTATATTTAAGTTAGGGACTGTGCAATAATTACCAGGAGAGGGGCCGTAAAACCAAAGGGGGGGCATTACATAAAATTGATGGCAAGATAGGGGGGGGCTCAAAGTAAAATTACCTAATTAACAGATGGGGGGCCTTAAGTTTCATTCAAAGTTTTCATAATTTTCAATGTCTCTCAAAATGCTGGAAATCGCATTTCCCAGAGTTATTTCTTTCAAATTTTGACAAAAAAATTCAAAATTTTCTGGGGGAGGACCAGACTCCCTTAATACTCCCGCCTTTGGCGTTCGTCAGACCCCCAGATCCAAAATATATGTCGCGGTCCCTGACATGTTCATAAAAAGTCCACGCTACGCGTCTGATTAATGGAAATCTAAATTCAAAGACTCGTTGATCAATGTGTGATTGAAATTGACCAAGATATGGATTTTTTTTCAATTTTGTCACATAAATTGAGAATGTAGTTTTCACATAAATTGAAGAAGTAGAAGCTGAAAAACATTGATGACTTATTAGACATAACAAGCACGGTAATATAAGTCGTTTTTGACCATAAAAACGTTACATAAGCCTAATTTTTTGAACCTTAAAAACCTTTGCCCGGAACAATATTATTTGAAAGAAGCAAGGGCACCACATTTGTTTGTCAGTATTGTCTTTACACTTAGGTCCAGATGAGTAAGCCACCTCTTGCATCTGGGTTCGTCTTTAGTGAATTTTACGTTGCTACAGTTGACTCAACTCGCTTGTGCTTGTTTTATAACTAAGGT